ATAATTTTTGTGTATTTCTCTCTATTCCTGCTAGCTTTGTAATTGGCCTCTGTGCTGTTAAGCTTGCATGTAAATAAACAGGAATTGAACTGAATTATTATACGCGATTTTATGATGTATAAGTTTGCCTATCTGCATCCTGCAAAATTGATGTTGACCTACTGTTGCAAATACTGGACTCATACAATTTTGTATATGTATTTTGAAGATTATTTTGATATGTATTTTAAGGACCATTTCCACACCCTGGTTATATACTGTACAGATCTATGGAAAATAAATAAAATGAATGAATTACAGTTGTCTGGGATGTGATGTGATGTGTAGCCTCATAGATGGGCACTAATGCCTCAAAGGAACGTTCTGCCTCCATCTTCAAGTAGAAAAGTAAAAGTTAGTCTTCTGTTTTGAAAATTGCCTCACAACCTGGAAGACCATTATCTGGATCATCAGTACTGTTACCATCATCAAACTTCAGCAGGTTATTCATAACTGGAGATAAAACTGCAATTTCTTTAGTTGTAGACTATGTCATCTTCAAACAGAAACAGCAACCACTTACCTCTTTTCAATAGGTCTTTAGAGAAAACGTGTACTGTATTTACAGAACAATGAGAAAACCACTTGTAACACTCAATATTATTCAACTAAATTCTTGTTCTTTGTAAGTTTATGTATTATAAGTCACAACTTATATGCTGTCTTCTATAGACTTACACCACCAACAGCACAGTGAGAAAGCATTAATTTATATTTTCATGTTTGGTAAAGTTAATCTTAAACTTTTTGTTTACAATTAAGCTTATTTCAGTCCAGTGTGACATTTAATGCATCCACCACTTTAGCACTTAATTACCCAACATATTTCGATTCATAATGAATCATCATCAGAGGTGTGCCTCTACGATCAGGAATCCACTAATACGTAGAAGTTTTTAAGAGTAGAAACACTTAAATCATTTATGATGCTCACTATATGTAGTTATTGATTTTTGCCGTATAGATGTTGACGTGCAGCGCAGCACACATACGAACCACACCATTAATAACAAGAACACACCACCAAGGGATAGACGACAATTCTGCTACTAAGGAAGATAAAACCAACCCACATCCCACATTGGTTCACGAATAAAATTCTTATCTTAAAATAACTTTATACACACATTCATGAACATCATTTTAACGTAAGGAAGGCTGCTGTGGCGAAACAAATTGAATTTTTATACAAAATACAGTGGAACATTTTTAATTATCCATTAGGGAAGTGACTGTAGCTATGCCACTTCTAAGTAATACAATGCAAAAACGTTATTGTTACAAGAAAATAAAAATTTTTATATCAGCGTCTATACAACCAAAATCAACAACTACATATAGTGAGCATCTTAATGTTTTAAGTGTTTCTACTGTTAAAAATTTTACGTATTAGTGGATTCCTGATCGTAGAGGCATACCTTCATGATGATGATTCATTATGAATCGAAACTTGTTGGGTAACTAAGTGCTAAAGTGGACTGGACTGAAATAAACTTAATTGTAAACCTGTTAGTGTGATGGACCAGAATGAAACAAATTAAAATCTTGCTTGTACTTCACTGAACTGCAAGAACGTAATACACAATATGAAGAGGAATGAAGAGCTTCTGTTTGGTTACACTGTGATATTATTATTGCTATTATTTAATAACATCTATAATAATGAATACTTTTATCCTTGATATATGTAATACAATGAAAATGAAACTTAGAAATTAATGGTATATATTTGAAACTAACAAATATGGCTTACATAACTTCAATGAAAAAATATTAGGGTAGAAAAAAGCTGCAGAAAATTAACTAAAGATTCTTGACTTTCATGAAACAAAAGAGTATATGGCAGCAGTATTGGCTAGCTGTAATTTAAAACCGAATGGATCTGAATCTTGGTAAAAAGAAAAGACTGCAAAACTGAGTTTTAATACTTTTTTTGTTGTTGTTTACCTATATGTTGTACAGGGGAAATCCACGCATTTGGATATTTTGTATGATAGGCAACTTTCTGTTCCCTGTATTGTAATGTTGAGCAAATTAATTTTGTTGTTTTGTTCCTTTTACATGGTAAATTGTAAGTTTGGTTTGATGTTGAATTCTTGTAGTATAAGGTTTGTTTCGGTTAAATTTTTGATTGTAATTCAGTAATTTGTTATGTACATATATGTAGGTACCCATTTTCTTGTGTCTTATGGGAGTGCTGTCCTGTAGGAACTGTGAGAATATTGCAGAGGATGGTGCTGTCATTGTGAGGCTTTTTTCTGTTTCTAACAGTTGTTATTAATTTGGAAGGAAGACTGTGATAGAATGGTGTCCGCTATNCTCCTCTCTTTCTATGATTGAATTTTGTTGTTTGTTGTGTTATTTAGTACGGTCTGTTTTATGGTG